GCCTTGCACTGCCTCGCCTCGCGCCGCCGGCACCAAACCGCCACACCGCCCTCCATATGGCCGCCGGCGCGCTTCTCCGGGTCTGGCCAGGGCGTGGGGAGCCCGCCGCCGGTCTCCTCCATGCCGACGCCCATCTCTCCGCGCCTGGCCGCTGCTCTGGCTCGGTGTCACTCAGAGAGAGAAAGGGAGAGAGTGGAGGAGGGATAGCGGCGGGCTGAGCGGTGGGCTGAGCGAGTGAGAGAAAAGAGTGAGGGAGAGTGAAACCCTAGACTCCGTTTATATACTCGCAACCTATATTGGGCTGAGATGGGCTTTTGAGTGGACTTGGCCTTTTAACCGTGGTGGGCCTCTTATAAGCAACCGTCACTGAAAATGAGCTTGTTTTTACAGGCGGGCCTCTTATAAGCAACCGCCTCCGTAAATAGATTTTGCGTGGCGGTTTTTATAACTGTCTCGTTTAATAAAAAATAACCGCCTCGGTTAATGTCGGGATTAACCGCGGCGGTACGCCTCGCAAAAGTTTTCTTTTAGTAGTGAGCAATGTGTATACACATATATGAATTTTGCTTCATGTTATTTTATTATATCATGTCTGGTAAAAAACCAGCAAGCTAATATAAGCGAACCCAATAAAATATATTATTAGTGATGAAACATATAGATTTAAAGTATTTTACATGATATAGGTGATATAGATATTTTTTAATTAATAAGGGATGTCCTTTGAACCTTGAGAGACGATCCGTTTCGATGCCCCGGCACGCTGGGACCATGCTGTGCCACAGCCGCCAAGGCCACGATCGACCACGATCGCCGTCGTCAGTGGCACCAGGTTCGACTTCGAGCGCTACCTGTCGACCAACGCCACGACCGTGCACGACGCGCTGGACCTTCCGGTGTCCCGATCGAGGTCCTGACTCCTGAGCGAGTCCATGCGCGCGCTACTCCGTCCTCGCGGCCCCGCGCTAGCCATCGCCGAGTGCGAGCTCGTGGGCGGGCCCGCGGCCGCAGCTGTCCCAGTGGCCTGCACCGTCGAGATGATCCACACCGCGTCGCTCATCCACGACGACATGCCGTGCATGGACGACGGCGCGCTCCGCCGCGGCCGCCCCTCCAACCACATCGCGTTCGGCGAGCCCATGGCGCTGCTCGCGTGCGACGCGTTGCTGGCACTCGCGTTCGAGAACGTCACCCACGGCAGCCGCCGGCGCCCCCGCGGACCGCGCGCTCTGAGCAGTCCGATCCTAGAGCTCGGGAGCGCAGCTGGCATCGGTGGCACCACCGCGGGGCAGGCCGCCGACATGGCGAGCGAGGAAGACCCCTCCGGCTTCGTAAGCCTGGCCGCGCTGGAGTGCATCCACGTGCACAAGGCGGAGCGGCTCGATCGTGCACGAGACTGGCCTGAAGGAGGACTGAACGGGAGTGGGTGGTGATCAGTCGGCAGCCGAGCAGGTTTTCATGAAATGAGTTTCAGGTAGCAAATTATATATAAAAAAAATAGTAGCTAGAGAAAACAGCCTCTATATAGTAAGACCATCCCTTATTGTATATCCCTTATTGTATCAGGTAGGCTTTGCAACGGGAATTTGGTGGATTTACTACTGATGTGGCCAATGTAAGATGATTTCCCTTCTGTGAATCTGTTTTTGAATAATTTGTTAACTCATGGAGGTTTTCTTGTTCAGGGCATTTGGTGGATTTACAACTGATGTGACCAGGTTGATGTCCCTTGTGTAAACAAACACTAACTAATTTCTCCTATATTTATGCTCCTGTAGTTCAGAACTGAGTGGTACAACAGCATATCTTCTGACTTTGCATTACCTGTAGACATTCTGAAGACATTGGGTTGGAGAAAGGGGTTGAGAAAGTAGCCACAACTCTCTGGCCTTACTTCTTGAGCAAGGTCTGGATATCTCCATTTTGCTTAACTGGACAGCAAAACAAGTTTATTAATAGAGTGGTTTTTTCATCCTCAGTGTGAGTCCCTGATGATCTTTCCTGTCCCTAGCTTAAAAAAAAAACCTTTCATGCCCCTGAAGTATTTTTTAAATTGGGGTGTGATTTAATGATTCCTGCATGCCTGTCAAAACTATTTTCGACTCTTACTTCTTGAGCAAGGTCTAGAGTCCCTTTTGCTTAACTGGACAACAATGACAAGTTTATGAATAGCGGTTCTCTCATCTCCATTGTGATTCCCTGATGAGCTTTCGTGTCCCTAAAGTATTTATTTGAAATTGATATGATTTATTGATTTCTGCATGCGCAAACTATTTCTACATTTTGAGATGATTTAGTGATTCCCGCACCCCTGATCTTGGACAATGACCCATATGAACTGGAGCAAGAAATTATATTTTTTATATTGCACATTGTTCCTACCCAAAAAAAAAATCTCTACAACATCTACATGTGCAGGTTCCAGACCCAAAATTTGTGGCCAATAAGAGCCGAACCTGCCAAGAAGCAAGCACAAGTGGATCAAGCACATAAGCAGAGAGAAGATGAAACTCTGAGATCTTAGTGGTCTACATGGTAAGTTTCTTGAGAAAGATGAAACTCTGAGATCTGAGGAAAACTTTCTTGTCTGAATTACCGCTGAAAAACAATAGCTTATGGGAGGAGGAAACATCTCTTTTAGAAGGATTCCAGATTAATACAAAACTAAATATGCTCAGTGATATCAGGTAATAGTTTTTTTTGTGATTCAGGTAATAGTTTAGAAAAATGTAGTAATTTGTTTTATAATTATTTATTTTAGATCATGCTAGCAGAGAAGCAGGCAGCACTAGAGAAGTAAGAGCATCAGGTGAATGTGTCGAATACAACGGTGGGAGAACTCTTTTTTTTTTTTTGAAAGAATGATGCAGCTTCTATTGATGCTCAAGTTTTTGCTCTCATGAAGGTCAGGAAAAACACAGAGAATGACTACACCCCTTCACCTAGGAATAGAAGTGACAATTTATCTTTGGAAAGTGATCCAAGTTAACTTGATGTAACTGTTGACACTCAAAAATGTCCGGGATTATTTTGGGCAAGTCAAACAAGTTTCTAAGGCCCTGGACATGGTCGAGGTCAAACGACATCGCAAACGGAGCAACGAGTTGCGCGGGGAAGATGGCGAGCCACCCCTAGCCGGCTTAGCTGGGTCCTACTCGGCTAAGCCGACTCACCTGGACCAGCCGGCTAGGCTGGGTGGGCAGACGGCTCAGCCGCCTCCCCCTACTCCCTCTCTCACACTCGGCCTAGCCGGGTGTCCTAGACGGCTTAGCCGGCCTGGCTGCCTAGCCGGCCGAGGCACTTGCCCAGCCCGTGGAAACCAGCTTAGCCAGGTCTCCTAGCTGGCTAAGCCGGCTCAACCTGTATTCCGAACAGATTTTGCCTAAAATCGTGTTTTGGAAGGTTTTAAGAGTACGAAACATAGAGATCGTGATTTGGGATTGTTTTCTACTGGGATAAGACCGCCCCCTCTATATAAATGAGAGGATCACGGCCGATTGATCCCATCCAATCAATCGATCGAAAACACAACTATCTCTACTTTTGCCCTAATTTCTTCTCCTCAACCCTCTACCCTGCTGTTTGGCAAGTCTCTCCACGAGATTTGTTGGTTTCTTAGGCGGTCTTGCTGGTCCTAGGAGATCCTCCACATGCTTGCTCCTAACGGATCCTTCTGGAGGTGGTTCAGAAGCTTTTTTCAGCCGAGAATGAGCTTCACATCGGCCCTATCAATCTCAAGCGGAGTGATTCAATGTCAACAGTAACTTATCTTTTCCTTAGCTCAACAGAGGTTCGCAAACATGCTCCTCTGCCAACTGATGTTCACAACTCCAAACTCCTCTTTGGCCCCTGAATGCCTAACGCCGGCGTCCTCGGTGGTAACAACCTATCACCCTGTAGCCTCTTGAGATGGTTCTCTGCATCTATTTTTTTTCTTTTTGGATGGTTCAATCTTCTCTTCTTACTTTAGTAAAAAATTAAATGATAATACATATTGGTTGATTTTGTTGGTTATATGCAAAAAACATTTAACAAAAATAATGGGTCTTATAATTAAAAGATGTATAAAGTCCTTAGAAAATATCAATGAGTGTTGATATTTGATATTTCACCTACCTATAGGTCACTAGAGTTTTGAATTACAAAATGGTCTGAGCTTATTGTAGACATTCACTTAGATTTCAGTACTGATTTGAATTACGTGCATACCTGCCGGTTGTAAATTATGGGTCTCTTTCGACTATAGATTCATCCAATGAAAAGTAACCGTTCTCATGCACCATTAGGCAACAAGACTGCCAAAGAACGTAAGATAATACAATACCCAATATTACATGGTATGTGCTATGTATATGTTAAACTTATATTATTTCAAAATTAACTATAGTTTTAGAGACGAAAGAATGCGAATAATAAGAGGCATGGTGAATCCCTATCATAAAAAAGCAACATGGTATTGAAACTACCAAAGTAATGCATCCTAACATGTTGAGATTGCCATGTACATATTACTTAACATGTCTTTTTTAGACGATGATGCCGTACTAAGGAAAATGTAGATTCTGTTGAAACAGATGATTGGCCGTATAGGAATGATTCCTATCAGATACACAATTTTGATGATGAGAACATGTTGACTTGGTTATGTTGTAATCAATTTCACATCAAAACATGAGTTATATTTAATTTGACCATGCTTTATGAAGATTCATTTAATTTCACAATATTGTTTTCTTATCGTGCTAACCTTGCGTTTTTAAGTACAAAAGTTTAGCTGTCCCGTAGCAACGCACGGACATGAACCCTAGTAACAGAGAAAAAAGAAAAAAAAGATAGAAACCTGAATTGGAACAAGCAACGGGATCATATGAGCTGATTCGATTTCAATTCTGGTCCAATTTTGATCCGAATCCAACTCACTTAACCAAAATCGCGCCTTGTGCTGAACGTGGCGGGCTGGATGATATCATGGAATTCTATGATTTCTGGTTATGCAAGACATGGTCTTGGAAGGAAAGCCCTTGAGATATTTGAGGAAATGCTGCGCAGCAGAGAAAGTCCAGACCATGTCACTTTTTGTCAGCGTCCTATCTGCATGCAGTCATGCTGGATTGGTGGAAAGAGGTTTAGAATACTTTGAAATGATGCCGGATCATGGTATACTACCTCAGATTGAACATTATTCCTGTATCATAGACCTTCTTGGTCGAGCTGGTAAGATTGACAAGATAAAGGAGTACATACAAAGAATGCCAATGAAACCTAACGCTCTCATATGGAGGACTGTTTTAGTTGCTTGCCGACAGTCAAAAGACGGGTCTAAGATTGATCTGGGGAGAGAAGCTTCAAGGGTGCTTTTGGAAATAGAGCCTCAAAATCCTGTAAACTATGTTCTGGCATCTAACTTTCATGCAGCTACAGGAATGTGGGAAGATACAGCCAAAGCCCGAGCTGCAATGAGGCAAGCGACAGTGAAAAAGGATGGAGTTCATACTTTCATCGCTGGCGACAGATCACATCCAAACACCAAAGAAATACACGAAAAGCTGAATTTTTTGATACAGAATATAAGAAATGCCGGTTATGTTCCCCTGACAGAGTATGCCTTGTATGAACTCGAAGAAGAAAACAAAGAGGAGCTGTTGAGCTATCACAGTGAGAAGCTAACCGTTGCCTTTGTTCTGACTCGTTCCTCAAGTGGCCCAATAAGAATAATGAAGAACCTTCGGGTTTGCGGAGATTGTCACATAGCCTTTAGATACATTTCTCAGATGATTAGCCAGCAAATCATTTTAAGGGATTCTATCCGATTTCATCATTTCAAAGATGGGAAGTGTTCTTGTGGAGATTATTGATAACTGATTTGAAAGGTTGGTTCAGTACCAGTTCCTAACCTTTCAGGTCATACCACATTGCCAGATGCTAGGTACAAGTTTCTTACCTTTCTCTTATTTAAGTCAAATATATATATTCAAATAAAATTACTGTTAGAGTTTCTCTTCAGACATGAATTTGCCATTCAATAACTAACTCCTGGCAACTATTATTCCATTTTCCCTTATCCCGTGGAATTTGTAAAGAAATCATTGCATCTGTCAAATACTCGAAGCTTACACCTCTAGCATCTAACATTAAAATTGAATTTAATAATTTGGCTTGCTGATTTATAGGTGTTATGTTTTCATGACAGTCCATGGGCTGCCCAACGCCCCAACCTAGCAACTTTTGTTCGTCATGACTACATGAATAAGTCCAGAATGTATTAATATTATTCCTGAGCCACCACTTTGCATGCATGATATGTGTTCATGTTCACTCCTTATCTCTACATGTGCTCTGCCTGCTCTTCTAGGTTGTGCAGTGTTGATGGAGACATCAGTTCTTTGTGTTTAGCGCTTGCATCTCTTCATTTAGCTAGGCATAATAGCTTTTTCATAGGCATCTTTGTGCTTTTGAATTTACAACCATGGTTTGAATTTATTTTTCATCATTTTATGGTCTGGCATAATGTTTTATTTGGTTGCCTATCTTGGAACTGTGGAAATTCATATCCGTATCAACTAGTGTGTGTTTTGATTACTGATTGTATGCTAACCCATGCTAATGCTATTCCCTTCTTTTGGACGCAGACATACATGGGAATACAAATATTTAGGTTTTACTTCAAGTGCACAGTGGAATCGGGGGCTAGTCACAATTTTGAACCTTGGCGTGAACAGGACGAGGTAAGTGATTTTGGGGTTTATTCGAAGGACAAATTCGATTCCATGCATATAATCTTCAATTTTATCACCATGATGAATATTCTTTTATTCAGGCAGCAGACAGAAAAGAGGAAAATGGATGATGAGGAGGGTGATGCAATGAAAGAGATGGAAAATAGAGCAATGGATTCAAAGCAGGGTATGGACATTCGTGCTGCTTTGGAAGAGATGCAGTCCATGAAGGTTGGATCTAGTTCTAGGCCACTAGTAGTAATTATTTCATGTGCTGTCTACAGTCTAGACAAGTGCTGAATCCAACTCACTACTTGTTAGCGTGCAAGTGTGCGCTGAACGTGGGCGGGCCCATGCCGACTCCGTTTAGAGCTGCTCTCCTTTCATCTCGCCCAGGTAACCCCAAAGCTCTCTGATTCGTGTGCTCTCGTCATTGCATCCTCTCGTTTCGTGAGCTGGTGAAGTGGTGATGCTTGAAGCATCTAATCTAATGATTAAATCTGTGGGTTATTGGATTTGTGGATTGAATATATAAGTTTACGCACTGCTGTAATCTTCTCTGTCCTGCTGATATCACAATGAAATAAAATGGCTTGTTGCAGTGTACATTTTTTTTGGTAAATTGTATGTAGATGATAAACAGCAAAGCAGTAAGCGATGCAGGACAAAACAGTATTTTATTTTCATAGGTATTTGACTAGCTGCTCGTAATATTGGATTTGAGGGATGTCTGAATGCAGTCGGGTTCTCTCTCCCCTCTCTGGGTGTGGCGGGGCGGGGCGGGTTGACAAGGGAAAGCCGGTTGGGGCGGGGCGGGACTTGCGGCGTCGTCCTCCCGATCTCCCGTGCTCGCACCGCGGGGAAGGGAAATAGAAGACGGCCGCCGCCAGCCCGCCATTGTCTTCGCCGACGCCTCCGCTCCGGCGTGTCCTCCAACAGCGAGAGCAGATCCAGGTGCCCCTCCTCCAGAACCGCTCCCCTGTCTTCTTCTTGGCGTCATCCACTTCTCCGGTTCTCCTTCCCCTTCACTTTCTGTTGATACAATTCAGCGATTGGATTGGATTGGCCCTTTCCCCATCGGCGACACTTGGAGCAGCAGGCATGAGAGGAGGAGGCCTTGAAGGCGAGAGGCGCCGCCGGCGGAACCCACAACCACGGTGTGGTTTGGGGCGGGTTTAGTAGTAATAAAAAATTTGGGTGGAGTCGGGGCGGGTGAAGATGTCCTCTGACAATGGGTAGGGGCGGGTGTGGCAGGGACCTCTGACGTGCTGCTCTGCAGTGCAGGGACTAATAAGGTTTAACATTCTATAGGAGATTAGGAACAGTCCATATTTTATTGCCATTTTCCTCTGGTTACAACAGTAAAATAATCCTTAGACCTCAACATTTTCTTGTTTTGAAACACATCTGCATTGGAATGGAGCATTAGGAATATCAAAGTTGAATAACCTATTTTATTTTTGTATATATATATATATATATTGATATATAAAGGATGCATCTTTGATTCTTCGTACGCTCTTGCATATGTGCTATGCTGATGCCACCACTTTGCTGCTTGTAGGTTCTATGAGTATTAGCATTTTAGCTAGAAAGGAAGACATGGAGAATAGGAATTCTCCAGCAAAGAGAATAAGACTGACGCTTAGTAAACAGACAGACTTACTTGGGTTTAATTTATTGTCACTTCCTGAGGTATGTAAAATCTCAACATGAACTCTATATCCTTTATGTTTCGAGGGGATGCATGCTGATTTTTGTTCAAAAACTTACTGCCAGGATGTTGTGTCACGAATTATAGCATGCATAACACTGAAGGAAGCTGTACGAATGAGTACCGTATGCAGCACGTTGAGAAAAGCCTGGATCTACCATCCTAATCTTGACTTTGATATTTCTACAGTGCCTGCCAGTAGTCAGCATAATATAATGCAGGGCCTTAAGAGGTTTATTGACACAGTCAATTTTGTCCTAAGGGAACACAGTGGTTTAGCTTTGAACAGATTGGCTGTGAACTTTGAATTGCATAAGGAACATGCACATGATATTGATGGATGGGTTTCCTTTGCTATCTCATCAAAGGCAAGGGTTGTGGTGCTCAATTTTTCTCCATATCTGGGACAACATGAAAATAATTATAGCTTCCCATGTCATCTTTTTAACAACCAAAATTCATCTCACCTTGAGGTCCTTCGACTTGATAGTGTTACTTTGGATCCAAGTCGAGAATTTTGTGGCTTTTCAAATCTTACAACACTTGCTCTGGAGCATGTGCTTATATTGCAAGATTTACAGTACTTTTTATTGAGATGCCCTTTATTGGAGTGGCTAACCATCCGACGATGTCCGGAGCTACATAATTTACATGCTGCTGAACCATTGCAGCAGTTGAAATTTCTGTGTGTCCAAGATTGTGCTGTCCACAGGATTGATTTGCTTGCCCCTAATCTCAGAGTGTTTGAGTACAGGGGTGGTTCAAAAGTGCTTTTCGCACTTAGCGAATGCCTGAAGCTGAAGACAGCGACTGTTTCATTTTTCGTTGAGGATAACCTTGGATATATTTTTACTGAAATTCCAAAGGGATTGCCTCATATTGAGACTCTACGTGTTGAAATGACTGTGAAGACTCAGGTATCATTTTTCGATGCGCTTCATAATCTCTAGTCGAGTGATAATGTTTTATGTTCCGCATTTGTTTCCTTTACTTACCATTTCATCTTTTCAGATACATGGATTTATGAAGGCTCCTCTCAGATTTATGCATTTAAGGAATTTGATTATGAACATAACCTTTGGAAATGTTCAACGATTGGGTAAAAATGCAGTCCTTCAATTAGGTTATCTTTTGGAAGCGGCTCCCTTTTTGGTGAACCTTCATGTGGATGTAAGATTTTATTCCATCTGCTTGTTTTCCTGTTTTGTTGTTGTAAATCCTCTTTGTTCTCTTAGTATACAGTTCCTAGACTTACTATACATGATGTTTACTGGCTTATAACGTGCAACTATTGTCTTAGCCAAAGTTGTGGAAGATGACAAACCAGAAACCACCCTACTAGTTCAATTTCTGAAAGTATTATCCAGGCTAGATAAGTGTGTAATGCTGCAGCCTAGGGAGTACTGGCATGTCAAAATTGATCATTTTGATTGTATATTTGCCACTATAATGGTTTCTTATTTTGCACATGATTTTCATGCTATTAGTTTATTTTCACTGACAATATCACGGTGTCAAATTCTGTGTAGATGTACTGCAGATTTGAATCTGAGTACCGCCCTAAAAAAGGCGTGATTGCGGATCACCCTCACCGTAACCTGAAGGATGCCTGCATAACCGGTTTTAATGGCAATGGAGGCCAAGTTGCGCTGGTAAAATATATCCTTCGCAACGCCATACAACTGAAGCGAATGGCTGTAGATCCGAGAAGAAAAATACTGGGGCAACTGGTAGAAGAATTTGATGGCCGGATGATAGCCGAGTCAGAACTGGTGCCACATGACAGGAAAGGCGTGCTGACAATTTTGGGGTGATACCTACATGTAGTTTATGGCCATTCGACAAGCCTTTGATTAATATAATATAAGGAGTCTACTAGCATGTATATGAATAAGGACAAGATAATTCTGAGTAGCTGGCTGTTATGTACACATTACATCTCAGATGAATAAGGACAATATAATTCTGAGTTACTGTTGGCTGCTTTGTAGACATTACATCTCGGATCAGTAGCATGTATGTATGAACAAGGACATGATAATAATTATCATCAACAATCTGTCCAAGCATCATATAAATTATTCACACGTTGCCAGTAACCTTGCAAATTACTCCAATTTTGACATGTGGATATATTTGATTTTACATCAACGGAAATCTAAAGCCTGTTGTCCAAAAAAAAAAAAACACCGGCAATCTAAAGCCATGTTAAGATGGCTGGTTCTGGGCTTGTTTGGCTGTATTTTAATCCATTCCAATTCACATGTACCGGAAGGAATTGAGGTGAAAAATAAAGTAATTTTTACCTCATTTCCTTCGATCTTTATAGATTGGGGTGGTTTAGACTACAACCATATATAGATTAGGGTGGATTAGACTGCAACCAAATAAAGTCTTAACATGGCAAGGGCTAATATCATACACACTCGAGAATAAAGCTGTTCCAAAATTTCTCTAAGCCTATTTTACATTTATCGCTAAGGTTCCTCCATGCAAGTGAAACCCCAAGACCCCTTTAGGCTAATTCCATACACACTCAAGAATAAAGCTGTTACAAAATTCCAAACATGGAAAGGGCTAATATCATACACACAGCGGAGCCGTGTTGTTTTTTTGCTGGAGAATGTTATTTCTGTGAAGGAAAAAAAAAAGTGGCGTGGCCGATGCAAAACTACACGTCGAGACGTCGAGTTGGATTGCGTGTGGGGACCACGGAAGAGGGGGAGTGAGGCAGCCAACCACCAACTTCACGGCCGCGGCCACACCGGCAGGCGACAGGCTTTGGGTTGGCGTGCCGGGCCGGGCCATGCCAGCGGCGGCGGCGGCGGCGGGCGAGAACCAGACGCCCACGCAACGCAACGCCATCCAGATAAGAATATCTCCCATCACTCCATCATCATCATCAGTAGATAGATAAACCCCTGCTCTCCAAACGGCCCCGAAAAGCGCAGAAAGAAAGAAATCCACGCCACAGCCAAAGAGCTACGTACATTTCTGCTTGGGCTTGCCGCTGGGCTCGCCGTCCTCTACTCACTTCACCTCACCGTGCTCGCTTGGTTGCCCTCCACGCAAACGCAACAGCAAGGATAGATAGTCAAATCAACTTGCTACGCTCCACCGCCCGCCCCCGCGGAGCGAGAGCCACAGCCATCCGCCCGTCGCACGCGGAGCAGAGCCGCCAGCCAAATCTATCCCCACCGCCCCAGCCACCACCCGCCCGCGCGCAATGGAGGACGCCACCGCCGCCCACCTCCAGGCCCAGCGCCCGCCGGGGCCTGCGGCGGCATCGCCGTCAACCCCACCGCCGCCGAGTACGTCCACGGTGCGTCGCTCTACCTCCCTTCCCTTCCCCCGTGTTTCTGCCGTCAGCTTCCGTTCCGCTCCGCCGCCGCGAGCCGTTCGTCCCAACTTCCTCTCAACGATTCACAACGGAAAGTACAATACAACCGGCAGCTCGGGGATACTAGATAGATAGACAGGAGGTAGATGTCGCGGCTGATTCATGATTAACTTCTTTTTTTTTCTACTACTACTACTCCATCCAGGATGCCTGTCAGCGTCAGGATCCAGTCAACTCTTATTAGTAAGGCAATCTTGGCCTCTTTGGGGTGGAAGATTAGTTTCAGTTGTGTACTGCACTTGCACTACTGCTGCGCATCCAACATTAATTAAGGCAATCTTGGGGAGGGGAAATTTAGTTTCGGTTGCTTTTAGAAAGCAAGGCCACTAGTCTACAACATCATATCTCTCTAACATTCATGCCCACAAGGCCACTACAACCAGACTCGAAATACTAAGGATACATGGATATATATGATACTGCTGCTACTGCTACCTGTTCAATACACAGTACATTCGTTCCTTCCTTCCCAGTGCCCACTGCCACCCTATCTCTGCTCCATTTCAACTTGCGCCTTGTTTGGGTTCACGGTGCAGCAGTTAGCATTGTCCTCCCAACCCTGATAACAATGCACACCTCCAATTTCAACAACAGTGTCCACCTCAGAAACACATTACCATTACTGACCACTCTACATACCCTTTTCAGCGCAGGTTTACAGTGTCGCTCTCCCTGAGAAATTGCAAACCGGCAAGTGGAACGTGTACCGGTACGTGCTTCGTGTTGTCATAAGCTATGTACAGTGTTGTTCTGTGGCTCCTGTGCTGGCTCATGGTTCCTGTTGCTGTCTCGCAGGTCCGCGCGTTCTCCTCTAAGGTTGATAAGTAGATATCCTGACACCCCAGACATTGGAACGCTGCATGATAATTTCACGTAAGAAGCGGGGACAACCTCTATTCAATCTGACTTCTTCTTAGTTTTGTGTAAAGTTCTGTTCTTACTGACACCGTGATCAATTTACTGTTGGCATTCATTTGCAAACCCATTTGTATAAAATGGTGCTGCAGGTACGCAGTTGAGACATTTACAGACTCTAGATACCTGGGGACAAGAATCAGAACAGATGGAACAATCGGAGAGTAAGGATTAGCATACACACCGTATTATTGCCTGCAGCGTCCGTTTTATCCAGACTGATTCGTGCAAGTGACAAAATAATGTTGTAGCTACAAATGGATGACATACGGCGAAGCTAGTACCAGCAGGACAGCAATAGGTTCTGGTCTTATCTATCATGGAGTTCGTGAAGTGAGTCGTCATGATCTGAACAAGCACTTGGTCCTTTTGTTCTTAACAAAACAGATATGTTCTTGTAGTATATCTGAGCTGACGTCAAACACATTTCTATTTGGAATCAGGGTGCATGCATTGGTCTGTATTTTATAAACAGACCCGAGTGGATTATAGTTGACCATGCTTGTTCTGCATATTCATATGTATCTGTGCCACTTTATGACACTCTTGGTATGTTCACAACACAGAATGACTATACTATAGGTCTCTTGGTCGTTCATGATTTGTCTAGTGACAGTTTTTGTTCATTTACATTTGTACTTTCAGGCCCAGATGCTGTTCAATTCATTGTGAACCATGCAGCGGTTGAAGCTATATTCTGTGTGCCTCAAACTCTAAGCATTGTGAGCTTTAATCACTTCTCTCTTTCAACCTTCGATAATTACTAGTGCCTATGATGAGGATGCATGTCAGAAGTCATATTAGTCCTAACTAGTGAGGCTGGAACTGCTCCAGGAATTCAGGCCATTCTTTTTTTGTACTAGTAAAACTCTGATAACAGGTTTCTCTAGAATATAAAAAACAATGTATAGTATGGTACAAGTGGGCAAGTGGTGCAGGCACATATGCATGAAATAGATGGTTAATCTTTTGGATATTGGGGCCTGATCTTAAATTAAGTTTTACATCCATAAATAATTTTTTTTGTTCTTATTTCGAAAAGCTACATTGGTTTATTGATGCCATTTAGCTTTTCACTTTATATTATTATAGTATTATGTCATTCTAGATTTAAAAGACGTCGACGGAACTTACGACTATTATTTTACTCATGGTTATCTATTGATTGCAGCTGTTAAGTTTTATAGCTCAAATGCCATGTGTTCGGCTTATAGTGGTAAGTCTGGACTGCTTACTGTTGACAGACACAATGTAACAGTCATGATTATTCTTTTTTTTTTTTGCGAAGAACAGTCATGATTATTCAAGGACCTTTCCTCCTTAATTTCCTAGTTTCTTTTGTCTAGGTAGTTGGTGGAGACGATGCAAATATGCCATCAACGCCAGTTACTACCGGAGTGGAAATCATAACTTACTCCAGGCTGCTCATCCAGGTGCTCATGATTTTTTTTGCTCATCCTTGAGTTTTGCTCATGATGATTTTTTTCTTTTAACTATTTCAAACACTACATAAAGGCTACCATGGTATAAGTTCCTTCTCATAAACTGCTTGATTTTACTGTAGTGGATACCCTTATTTCTCAATGTACCTGAACTTAAGGAAATTTTGATACAACCGCATGGCAGCCATTTTCATTGTCATTAATCTGGAATGGCCTAAGTCAGATTTGTAGATGCACTCAAATATAAGTATCCCATGTCCTTCTGGTTCCCTGTTTTCTTCTTATTCTTTTTCTTTGCCTACGTGCTTCAAGAGTTTGGCCCTTACAAAGTTGATGTGATTTAACACCTAAGCCACACTTAGTACTTATGTTATATATTATGTCCCTAGATTTTATGCATGGGATGCCATGATTTCTTTTCCATCCTTTGTTGGGTGGAAGTTAGATCTATCTAGAATGCAAAACTGAATCTTCCAGTTCAGATTAACCTGACATGGGACGATGTTTGTATCTGCATAAATGTGTATGTGTTTCCATATTAATTATTTTATTTATAGAATTTGAATGTTTAAGTTGTTAATACATTGCCATTGGTGTTTTAATTTTGAATAAAGAAGGGCACATCACCTTCTGTTTTCCACTTGCTCCTAGATATTGTGCGCCCCTGTTTTCCTTAATCCTTCAATTCTTCAACTCAGGGAAAGGCTAGTCCTCAACATTTTCGTCCTCCGAAGCCTGAAGATGTTGCCACTATCTGTTACACTAGTGGCACTACGGGCACGCCAAAGGTAAATCAACCATCCTTCTGATTATTCTTTGCTTCATCAGCAAAGTTCTTTTACTTGTACACTTGTACATTTCAGATCTGTGATGCTCGATATTATTTTTTTCTCTCAGGGTGTTGTTCTTTCTCATGAGAACTTAATTGCAAATGTAGCAGGATCAAGCCTGAACATTAAGTTTTACCCCTCCGATGTGTTAGTATTTTGAATATACACTCAAATAAAATTCTTTTTGTGCTTGAACAACTTATCCAATTCACATCAGCTCTTAACAT